GTTTTATTAATTTGTCTTTTTCTGTTTGAGAAACTAGTGCTAAGGTTATCTTTAGTGATTTTGAAAGGGATTATATCTATTTTTAGATGTAAAAATCTAATTTATTTAAAGTTCAGATATTTTAATATTGATCTTGAGTTTGAAAAGATTTTGAGAAGAGTTTTGAGTTTATTCTTATTGTTCTTGGATATATGCAGCGGAAGCATTGGTAAAATGTAATACTCAATATTACTTTTGTCCAAAGTAATACCCAATAATATCAAAGCTCCCACTTGTATATATTTTTTATATATATAGACACACAATTTACTTTTGTCTCGGCACAATTGCGTAAAGTTGTCCAGCATTGTTGCGTGTGCCAGCGGTAAGTGGTAACCTTGTAAACGACCCAGACCCAGACCCAGAGTGTACAATCACGCTTGAAACTGTACACTGCCTTGACACTCATTTCTCGGTGGTTGCTTTTCATTCTGAGAAGAGACATTAGAACTTGCGACTAGAAAACATTACGCATGGCTTCATCCGTTTCTTCCCAACAGGATCAGGTGCTTCTTCTTTCTCTTGCTTTCACTTTCCCTTGCTTCATATCATGCTCATTTTTATATCTTCGGAAAAGAAGTCTCTCCTAATTAGTATGATTTTTCTCGTCTCTTTTCTCTCTTTCTTTGTTTCTTTCTCTATTCCTGGAAAAGAATCTTGGGTTTGTTTCACTCTTGTTCTCTAACTTTTTTCTTTGTTCAAAAGACTTGACTTGAAATCTCAATCGTGTTGTATAGGAGACAAAACCCAGAAAACACTCCTCTCCTCTCGGTCGCTGTTTGATTCTAGATAGAGTTTTAATTAACTTAACTGGTTCTAGCAATTCAAACTCTTAATAATTGAAGTTTATGTCATGCTGATTCTCATTCCAATTTACATACATGTCAATGTGTCTGGCTGATTACGAGTTCCCAGCATTTCTCCTTGCTTCGCAGCTTAAATAAGTTTGACATGTTTGGAAAAATCACTCATGTTTCTTCATTAGCTCTGCAGGTTCTAGTAGAAGCAAACTCCTTCGCAAGAATTCTAAGCTTAAACAGGCCTAAGCAGCTTAATGCTCTTTCATTTCAGATGGTATGACCAGTTGCTAATAGGATGCTTCAACTGTTCAGTATTTGGGAGTTACCTTTATTTCATGCAATTAGTTTTTTAATCAAATGCTTTATGTTTTAATTTTCCTTTGTTTAATTACCATATAAATATGCTTTAACGTCCATTAACCTTATCTCTCTGGCCTTGGTTGCCGTAAAATTTAATTCTATCTGCTATCAATTATGCTTGTACCTCATTTATTGTTTTATGGTTTGAGAATTCATTGATCACGTCTCAGAGTATAATACTCAATATATGGGTGGGTCAAACAACTTTCTTTGCTCTAGTTATTCTAGTAACTGCTAATTCATATAATTTCTGTTGCATGCCTTTCTACATCAACTACATATAAATGCCTACAAAGTTTTCTCCTTCCAATAAAATCGTGTGTTCTGCTCTGTAGTGTGCACTTTTATTATCATGCTTTTCTTCTCCATTTATACATTATCTGCATGACTGTTATACATATTCCGTCAACAATCTTTTAGTCATATGAATTCTTTGAAACATCAAAATAGAATTTAATATTTTTCTCTTTACTGTAGATTTCTTGCTTATTGGAACTTTTTCTTGCCTATGAGGAGGATCCTAATGTCAAGCTGGTAATATTGAAGGTACTGTCCTTTGAAAACCCATTTTCTTGTACTTCATTAAAAGAAAAATGTGACAACAAAAATGCTGAGAGGAACATTAAATTGTAGAAATTTGAGTCTGATGACATTTTTGGGTTTCATTGGTGGCATACAAGCATGCATTGTCTCTACTCTTATGTCAAGCCAATCAGATTTGTTTGACAGCACATTTCAGGGTTAGCCTTCCTACCTGCTTTTACCTAAAGTGTGCAGTGGAAAAGGCTATCTATTTTTTGCATTTATCTTAGAACATCAGCATGGTCAGAACTATGTTCTGTCTCAATCTCCATCAAATTGATTCCTTTCGAAAGTATAATGGCCCTTCCATATTAGCATAAGAATCCTATCTGGTTCTTAGGTAAAGACCAGATGGGATATAGTTCTCATTGTTACCACTCGATTGGCATAATACACTTGAAAGGGGCATTGTCAGCTGAGTTTTGATTATTGATAGTCCTTACTGTAATCAAATTGTTGAAAGCCTTAGTTAATTTGCATGAATTTTGAAGTTTTTTTTTTGTTTAACTGTGGAAGATTTGCTAGCTAAGAAGTTAGTAAACTTGACAAATGCCTTCCATAAGACTAATTTCTTTCATCGGTTATGCAACCAAATTTTTTTGCATTGAAGAGAATGCACCTGATGGCTGGCAATTTGTCTGTAGGGTAAAGGAAGAGCATTTTGTGCTGGTGGAGATGTTGCAGCTGTGGTACGTGATATTAGAGGAGGTATAGATTCTTTCATTGCTCATGGATACCTCTTTCAATCCTTTAGGTTTGAAAGGTTAATAAGTTACATTATTTGTTTGCAATCATCATTTCCTCTTTGTCTACCTCAGATTTGCTACCATTTATGATTACTCTTTTGCTAGCGCAGTTGACCACTTTTGAAGTGCTGAGTCAAAAGTGCCTTCACTTTTTCCTTCTCTTTTGTTGGATAAATTTAAAGTCAATGATTATTTGTTATCCATTTATATGCTCTAGATGATTGGAGAGCAGGAGCCAATTTTTTTTTGAAGGAGTTCACCTTAAATTATTTGATGGCAACCTATAGCAAACCACAGGTAACCCAATTGGCATTAAGTAAAGTCTCACATAAGAGCTGGCTTTAGCCTATGTCATGTATATGTATGTTTGTCCTAACTGTGAGAATTCAAATCTCTTTCAAGGTTTCAATTCTTAATGGAATTGTTATGGGAGGTGGGGCTGGTGCTTCAGTGCATGGTAGATTCCGTGTTGCAACTGAGAACTCGGTAATTGTCTTTATGTTGCCTTTTGAAGTATATTGCAATTTTCTTGCATGTATTAGAAGAAAAAAAATGTCTATAGTAGCATTTTTAGCCAATATTTTCTCTATTGTTAATCAATAACTATAAGTCTCCAATTAAAACAAGTTCATGTCTACCACAGATCTTGTCTAGTTTTTACTCTTTCTACAAATTGATAAGACAATCTGATCCTGTCAATGGCAGTTTTGGTTTTCTGTAGTTATATGATTATATATTGGATGTTTTGCAGGTTTTTGCAATGCCTGAAACAGCTTTGGGACTCTTCCCAGATGTAGGTGCATCATATTTCTTGTCAAGACTCCCTGGATTTTTCGGTAACCCCACTTATATCCTTGAATATTTTTATATATTCCCTTAGTAATTACTATTATTATTAAAATGTCATATGCTAAATGATTTAAAATAAGATGAACCTTTGTGTCACCTCTTCAGTAGCATCCAGGATTTTGCCTGATGCCTTTTTACATCTGCAAGGAAAAACACAAAGGCAGTAAGGCACCATAAATTGGGTTCTTGAGATTATATTGCTTTATGATGGTACAATAGCTATCTTTGCCGTTTGTTGGGTCTATTTTGATTCATAGAGCTGTTTCATGGTTGTGCTGATTGTTCTACCAAGCCAGAAACTTGTACACATGAATTTCCTTTGTTTTTAGCTTCACATTTCTTTGACAAATTCTGGCAGGAGAGTACGTTGGTCTTACCGGTTCAAGGTTGGATGGTGCAGAAATGCTTGCATGTGGCCTCGCAACACACTTTGTCCCTTCAACTGTATGCTTTTCAGCCTAAAATACTCACTGGCTTATGAACATAGTTGAGTTTGAATATATTTGGGGAAAAGTAGATACACTCAGTTGGTTGAGAAAACGTGATCCGAGGGAACACATAACAAGTTTAGCTTCATTTTTTCTTTTGCAAGTAAAATTAGCATGAATACTTCTTCTTCGTCTTCTATCTTAACATTAATCTTTGAAAGTTAAAGTGTAGAGTTTTTAATAAATGTATGCTTCTATATTGTGTAAAGCTACTTTTATAACACTAACCAGATTTAACTTTTAAGGTTTTAGAAATGAACTTTTTCATATAGAGCTACTTTTGTAACTAAAACCAAATCTTTCCTTTTGGTTGGGGAAACTAAAACCTAATGTGTTTGCACTTATTGAAGCAACTAAAACTGAAAATACATTGTTCTATTTATCTATGCTGCGTGAACTGAGGAAAAGCTGCACTGTGAGTATTTTAGGTACATAAGTAAAAATTCATATATTTAACCTAACAGGTTTAAGACAGGCTAAATTGAGTCGAATTACATGACCCAAATCACAGCGTAATGCTTCAAAAGAGTAAAGTTATGGCTTCTAGTTAAGACAATCTCTGCTTCTGTCTTGGGTATCAAGTTTAAGTAATCTAAGAAGTGCATGATGTTTGTTAATGTTTATAAAACACTAGACTATATATGCATATTTTGTATGGGCTTAATTGCACATTTCTTGCACTTGAACTGTAAAGGACTTTGGAGATTTGAAACCATTTCAATATCTTTTAATTCCAGAAGAATGCCAACATCCATTCGAGTTGCCATATGTGGAATTGTTTTTCCTGCACTAAGAAAGCATTTTATCATATGCAGTGTCTTATTGGAATCCTTAAAAATCTCTGCTGAATTTATAATCCAAAATGGGTAGTGTGAACAGTGGCTTAGACATTTTACTTTATTTCTTTTGATAATTTGAGTATCTATGTTATTTGTTCATATCTGTTCACTTACTCAACAGAAGTTAGCCATGTTAGAAGCTGCACTGTGCATTGTAGATTCCAGTGATCCAGTAATCATTTCCTCAATTATTGATCAATACTGTGAGCAACCCTCATTGAAAGAGCAGAGTGTGTACAATCGGTTAGTTTTCTATTAATAATTCATTTTCCAGCACATGGTTTGATCTCTGCAGCCCAATGAGGGAGAGAGAGAGAGAGAGGGATCTTACATATTAACAGTGAATATAAAAATTTTTGAATATCTGCCCTTTTATATGATTCTCTGTTTGTGGAATATGTGGTAGCTATGTCTTTCCTAAATTCTCATTATCGTTGGTGATGTGGCTACAGATTAGATGTCATTGATAGATCCTTCTCTCAAAAAACGGTTGAAGAAATTATATCTGCTCTTGTAAGTTGATTTTGTGATTTTGTTAATTTTCAGAAGCATTGATTGGATTCTCTCATTTGGTCTTTCTTGCATGTGTTTTAAAGTTCCCTGCTACTTATTATACCATCAGTATATGCCACCTAAGACAACAATCTGATGAACCCACTTACACAGGAGAGGGAGGTTGTTCACAAAATGGATGTTTGGATCTCTACAACAATTCAAACATTGAAAAAGGCTTCACCAACAAGTCTTAAAATTTCTCTTAGATCAGTAAGTTAACATATTGATATTGACTGTGACATGCCAACGAGATCATGCATTGAGGTTGCTTTTGGGTTTTTCCTTTTAGTAAATTTTACCACCTCACACATCTGATACACAGTGTGCACTATTTATCATTATTTTTGAGTTTAGCTCATTTCGAAATTCACCTTGAATGATAGAACCATCCAAAAGATGTGGCACTTATCAATGTCGGTATAAGAATATTTTATCTTATACTGCTAGTGGCACAACCGAAACAAGAAAGATACAAATTAAATAAGGGCTTAATTTTTCCTTGAAAGCAAATTGATTTCCTTCTATGTTAGTGAATAAAGGATCATGGATTATCTAATTTGGAGATTGCTGTAAGCTTTACCAATAGTTTCAGCTTAATGTTGGCTCTGCTCTTATGATATCAGATTAGAGAAGGGAGGCTCCAAGGTGTAGGTCAATGCCTTGTTCGTGAGTATAGAATGGTTTGTCATGTCATGCGGGGAGAAGTCAGCAAAGACTTTCTTGAGGTTTCAGCTGACTCAAATTTCTGCTTCTGTAGGGTGTTATTTAATTTGCTTTATTTCTCATTGCTTCTTGAAATGATTAAGATCTTAATTTCTTACTGCAGGGTTGCAGGGCTATACTACTGGATAAGGATAAGAACCCAAAGGTGGTATTTCCATTCCTGAATCTTAGATCACTTATTTGCATCATATGAAGTTTTTTTAGTAAACTGATGAATTCCCTCCCGCTCCCCTCCCCTCCCTTTGTGTTTTGCCAGTGGGAGCCATCCAAATTGGAGATTGTTACTGATAGTAGGGTTGACCGGTATTTCTCCAAGATGAACACTGAAGAATGGGAAGATCTAAAGCTTCCCACTAGATCTAAGCACAACTTGCCAGTATATGCCATTGCAAAGCTTTAGATGACATTTGAAATGATGTTAAGAGTTTAGGGCAGAAAGTTGTAAAATCTATAATAAGCAAAGCCAGTTTGGGTATATGCATGTCAATCCCTTGATCAGTCATAAGCTGTTATTGGCATTTTACATGGCCAACTGGTTAAATTATATGAACCCAATAACAAATGTTACAGTTAATGATATTGTTTATGCATTTTATTGGAGGGGAGGCGTTGCACTCTCCATTTCAAGCATAGCAATAGCCAGTAGGCATTCAGTCATTCTTCTCTCCAATCTGGCCAAATAGTACTTGCAAGCCCTTGTTGACTGGGCTGCTCTTGCCTGCCTGGAATTTGGAAACAAAAAACAAAGAATAGTTCTCCGCCTCCTGCATTAGACGTCAAGAGTTATGTCAACTACACGCAATACTCGCTTCATAAATTAAGAAACCTAGGGGACAAAAGAGAGGTTGAAGTTTGAGATTTGGGTAAGATATATTGAAGGTTTAAGGTAAGATTTAATTTTTTAGATTTGGTTATTTTAGAGCTTGTTTGGTTTAGTTTTTTTTAGTTTAAAAGCTATTATGAAGTTTTTATGAAAAATAATAACTTTTAGAGTTAAGTTGAAATTATCTAGTAAATTTTTTTTTATAAATTTTTTTTATAAGTTATAATTTTGATTAAAATTATCATAAAAGATATTTTTTTTAAAAGGTAATATTGTAATTATTTTTAATAGATGAGTATATTTTTGAAACAAAAATAAAAATTTTCTTGTATTTTAAAAAAAGAGAAGAAAAAGCCCCTTATAGGGGCTTTTCTTGAAGCTCTTTTTTAAAAAAATTTATTCTTTAAAAAAATTACTTTTTTTAAAGAGTTTTTTAAAAAATTTATATTTGACTTGGTTTTTATTTTTAAGAGATAAATAAGTTGAAAAAAAATTAAACCAAACAAGTACTTAGTTTTGTACCATAAAAATCCATACCAAAACCACTCTGGGAACTTTTGACAAACAATAAGGGTTAAACGAAATGACTCGTCGTGATCTTTTCAATAATTTTTGGGACACCTTGATTTTGTACTTTGAAAAATAAATCAATTTTAAATGTTGAAAATGAAATTTTGATAATCTCAACGACACAATTTTAAATTGTCGAAACTACATTTTCGATTGATGAATTTTTTTTTTATATGTAGGCTTTATTTTGGTTTAAGTAGCTTGGTTAGGGACTTTTATCTACTAAGAGAATCGAAGTCATTAAGAAGGCCACATGACGATGGAACTCATAAATTTTAGATAATTAGTGATGAATGTGTCTTGAAGCCTGTAAACATTGAGGCCTTACATTTAGTTTGGATCTCAAAGAATAGTTGTCGACTTGAAACTTATAATTGATTAACTAGTTTGGATCTGATTAGTTGTTTAATCCATCCGAAGACCAATTTTACTTGAAGGGACTTTAACACTTGTTAAAGTAATACATTATACATGGGAATGTTTTTTACGTTGATTTGTTAATTTTTTTATTTTATCAATTAATTGGTTCTTGTATTAAACATAATAATAATAATGGTAACATAAAAAAATTAAAATATTCTAACAAACTAAAATAAAATAATAGTAATAGTTATGCTATGATTGAAATTAAATAAATTTTTATTTATTAGTATTCAAATTAGATTATAATAGAATAAACTCTCTATCCCCATTAAAATTTATTTTCTAATTGAAATTTGATTGTAACAAGTTTGTTGATAGTAGTTCTTGAATGGCAAATTCTACAGTAAGGTCATTATTTTTTACCTTACTATAAGGTCAGTTAATAAAAACCATTAGATTTATATGATTAAATTACAGTCATTGATTTAAAAGTGATAAATAAATCAGTAAACAAGTTCAACTGGTTAATAAGAAAATAAAATTAAAAAAAATTAAAGAGTTAGGAAAGATGAGGACTCTCTTTGATAAAGGAGTCGGGGGAGATGAGAACTCTCCCTCACAAAATGTGTTCTCTCTTAATGGAGGAATTTTTTTTGTAATATTCTATCGAGAGTTTCCTAGCCAAGTTTATTTTCCTTCACCTCAATTAGCCAGCAAATTTATTACAACAAGTTTACAATAGTAAGCCATCCCTGGTTTGAAAGTTTTCAAGACAAGAGACTCTACGCTACTTCTAAGGCAATGCCTACAGGTATGATATATTGCTTGTTGTGGCTCATGAACTGCCTTTTTTTTTTCTATAAAAGAGTATAAATTTGCATAGAGAGAGGACGTCAAAGGGATAGTTTTGTTTTGACAATTCTTTTTATCATGTGATCTTTAGTAAATTTTTTTTTGTTTGTTTGGTAATTAAGGGCAAAAGTTGTTAAAAGGGGAGGCTTAGACTTCAACCTTTTGTCTAGTCAGTCATTATTATCCAGCCAAATTATGTTGCTTTGATCAATGCCTGAACAAGTTTACATAGTCCTTAGATTGTTCTTGATCAGTATCAACAATTCTTAAGCAAACAAACAAATATTGAAGAACCAAAGGCGAAAATCATTATCATTAGCAAACGAAAAACATACCAAAGACTATGATAGAGGGCCATTGTCCTTTCTATTAGATTAGCAACTGTAATTTTGCCATAATTAACAAAATGAGAAAAATGTCTAAATGGCCAAAACATATATGACACCTCAAACAAAAACCAAGAGGAATAGAGTTGATATGAGATAGTTTTTGCCTTCTTGGTTTGATTGAATTAAATTGTAAACATGATAATGCTATCTAATTTATGGTGATTTAGAAAATTTCTAGATCATTGTTACTTTCCTATGTTTGAACTCACTGTTCTGAGTATCATGCATATCAATAACTAGCTTATGGAAATTGATTTAAAATTTTATGGGAATAGTCTATATTTGTGCAAGTTTTTTT